GCCGCCCGCAGCCCGCAGGGAGAGCGCGAGCCCGCGCCGGGCCTGGCCGGGTGTCCAGACAGGTGATGGGTGGTGCGGCGGCAGCGGCTCCAGCCTCGCTCCGAGGTCCCTTTCGGGGCTGACGCCCGCAAATATGCAGAATTACCGGCCTGGTCGCTCCTAGAGCCAGCGCCGGGGAGCGAGCGCGGCGGCGGCCAGCACCGGGAACGCACCAAGGAAGAGGCCCAGCCCCCGCCCTCCGCCCCTTCCGTCCCCACCCCCTACCCGGCGGCCCAGGAGGCTCCCGGCGCGGCGGGCGCGGCGAGCGCGCACTCCCTGCTCCTCCTCCTCGGTGGCGCTGCCTGCCTCTCCGCACTCGCTGCTCGCGCCTGGCGCGCTCCGTCGGCTCCCTGCTCTCCGCGCCACCCTCCTCCGGGCCGCGCTCCCTGAGGGATGGTACTGAATCTCGCCGCCACAGGAGCCCGGCTGGAGCGCCCGCCCCGCGGCCTCGCCACCCCGCCGAGCCGCCAGCGCCTCGGGACGCGATGAGGACCTGGGCTTGTTTGCTGCTCCTCGGCTGCGGATACCTCGCCAGTGCCCTGGCCGAGGTGGGTGCCACCCCCGCGCCCCGTCCTCTCTCCGACTCCCCCTGCGCACGCCCCCTGCGGCCGCTCGCGGGCCGAGGAGCCCGGGCTCTGGGGCTCTGCAGAGCGCATTTTGATTTCTGCTAGCGTGGTCGATTTTTAAATTTTCCCAACTGGGTTCTATTTTCTGCCATGCCCAAGTGTGTCTGGTGAGTTTCCAGCGTGTTGCGTCGCTCTGCCGTGGAGGGACGGAGTGGCGGCTGGGTGGACGAGTGGGGAGAAACTTCGGGGGGCGCGGGCTCCTTTCCGAGGAGGGAGACCCGGGGCGCGGCGGACAATGCAGCATCGGGGTGCGGGGAGCGCGGAAGGGGGTGTGTGTGTGAGCCAGCGGAGTCAGGGAAGGTAGGAGAGCCGCCGACAAACAGGTAGGGGCGGTTGCGGCCGGAGCCCCCGGCAGGCAGGGTGGGCAGCGCGGAGCCGCAGACCCAGGTTCCCGGTCCCCATGCCCGGAGGAGCGGCTGGGCCAGCGCAGTCTCGCCCGCCCGGGGCCTGCTTACAGGTGGCTGAGCGAGGCGAGCCGGGGCCGGGCCAGGCGCCCTCGCCCTCCCACCGCCCGCGTCCCCACCCTCAGCCCCCAATCTCGAATTCCGAATCTCCGGGAGCTCTGCTGTGTTGAATGACTTTCTACGCCCCGTCGTGGGAACTTAGTGCTCAATTGAGACCCCCCAGCTACCCGCGACTCCCTTTAAAAAGCAGGAAGGAGCGGGGTTGGCGGGGGGTGGGGTGGGGGTGGGGTGGGGAGGCCGAGTGGTGGGGGTGGTCTGGGCTGGGACCCGGAGCTGTGAGAGGTAGATATTAACCCTTAAGTTCCCTGGCAGCCCCTCCCAGCCGCGGCTGGATTTGGGGCGTCTTGGCGCTAGGGCCGCGGCTGGGCCGGAGCCCGGGGTGGGGCGAGTGTGTGAGTGTGTGTGCGTGTGCATGTGTGCAGACGAGAGACCCTCTCCCCCGCAGGTTCGGCGCGGGATTCTGGGTGTGAAATTTAAGCCTCAGGGTGGATTAAAGTGTTAGGGCTGCCGTGACTTTCGTCGCCCATCCGTGACGCATTTCAACTTGATCTTCCTAGATGTTGATTTCACTGTTAGATCAGCAACTCCCTGGGCCCCTCTCTGCCCCAGACCTCTTGTAACCGACACCCCGGGGCGGAGGGACCGAGTGCTTTTTTTTTGTTTTTTGTTTTCTAAATTTAATGGTGGGGAGCGCTTTCTTTTTGCAAAGGGCAGACATGGCTGGGGACGGAGAAATGGGGGTCTCACCCAGCCCCACCCCGGCCTCAGGCTCCAGGGCCCGGGCTGGGGGTCGGGCGGCCTGCGTGCGAGGCGCCCGCGCGCGTTGGGGCGGGGCAACCTCGGTCCGGGGACCAGGCGCTCTGGGCGGCCCGGGGCGCTGACCGTGTTGCTCTGCTTGCAGGAAGCCGAGATCCCCCGCGAGGTCATTGAGAGGCTGGCGCACAGTCAGATACACAGCATCCGGGACCTCCAGCGACTCCTGGAGATAGACTCCGTAGGTAAATCGCGCCCCTTCCCTCGGCGCGCTGGGAGGGCGCGGGCGGCGGGCAGGCGGGCAGGCGGTATGTGCGCCCCGCGCCGCCTCCCGCGTCTGGGCCGGGCCGGGCGCCGAGCAGGAGCGCACCGAAAGGTCAGAATCCAATCCCGGGCCATAAAAGCCCAGGCGGATGAGTCAGGAGTTTCTCTTCCAATCACCACTTTCTCTCCCGGCGGCGGCCGACGGCTGCTCGCTCGCCCAGGGATTGTTTTTGCACTTAAGAAAAATGCCCAGTGTGTCACAGAAAGTTCAGCCGCATAGAGGGCGCCGGCGCCCCGGCCAGGTGTGCGGCCCAGGCCCCGGGCGCTGGTCGGGTAGGCGTGCACCGGTGCCCCCCGGCTGGGCCCCTTTGTCATCCCCGCGAACTTGCCCCGCTCCTGACGTGGGGCTGGGCCTTTGTGCTTGTAGGACGCCCTTGTCTTTCTGTTTTCATGAGCCAATAAAAAGGCGCGCCTTGGACACATCTGCTGTTTGGGGACTATTTTGGGGCTCCCCCTCAGGCTCTGGAGCTGAGCCACTTTAGAAAACAGTTTCTTCAACAAGAGGACCCTGAAGCTCTTTTGAGTGTCAGTGGCAGGGTTGGACTGGCCCCAGGTGGGTAAAGGTGGTGAGGAACCCAGGTTGGCTGGGCCAGGAGCCTGATGATGTTGGGTGACTGCGCTTGGGTGTGGACCAGAGGAAGGCCCTTCCTAGAGGACAAGGATTCTGGCCCACATTTTTGTGGCAGGAACTCCAGCGTGAGTTAGCTGGGGAGATACTCAAATCGGAAAACTTACTGTTGACTGGATTAAAAGAGTTCCCAAATGAACTTGTCAGATGGAGCAGCTGAAGCCAGTAGGAGTCGGTTGGGAGAATTTTACGTGAAATGAAGATTTTTCTCTCACTGCAAACTACTCTGAAAAAGGGGGGCGGCGGGGGAATTAAGTAAAATCACATGGTCTAGTCATTTGGAAATTTGTACCTAATTATGGTGGTGGAGAGGCCTGAACTATTTTCATTTCATGCCAAAACCATTTTCCAGCGAGGGCGATGGTTTCTGTAGTTTCTTGACCCAGGAAATCCTTTGGGTGATCCTTATCAGGAAGGGGGTAGAATTTCACTTGGAGATCAGAGTTGGGCCAGGGGGGGATTTTGATCTGGTTCCTTGATGTGTAACCCTGGGGGGAAGGATTTGGCTTTGGTTAGCCGAGGAAAACACTTGCCTGCATTCTGCTGTTCCCTGATGGATTGGGGAAAGTGGGGAGACTGGCTCCCAGAGAGGTTTTTTTCTGGCTGGCAGAAGAGAGGCCTGGGAAAGGCTGGGCCTCCTTGCAGGACCAGCTTTGGGTTGCCATTGGGAAATGGGCCATTCACTTTCTGCTGGGACCATTCTTATTCTGGTCTCCGCAGCCCCGCCTCTCCCCCACCCCCACCCATGAATGCTTTTAGCATTTTGCAGCTCTGGGGTCATGCTGATAGCATTCCTGACCTGAGGGCTTCTGGGTCCACCGCCTCCTTGGAGGGTCCAAACAGAAAAAGTAAGGGTGCACCAGCCGGTTCTCCGGGCTGGTTTCAAATTGTCCCCTTATAAAAGCCCCCGGGAGCCCGGCTCCCTCCTGCCCCAGGGGGTGGAGAGACTGGATCGCCTCCCCCCCCGCCCCCACCGCCCCGTCAGAAGATCTGGGGTCTGAGAGTGGGACTCCTAGTGCCTGGGAAACTTTGGGGGTGAGAACATTGGAGGGGCCCCAGGGTCTCCCTTGCTCAGCAGCCATGCCCCTCTGGGACCCTTTGTGATACAAACCCCAAGGTGGGTCTCCTTCATCCTGGTCAGCCCCCCTTTCACATATATGGAAGCTCTGACCTGAGCTGTTTGCTTCTATAGCTTGTTTTGCGGGGTTGGCGGCGGGGGCGGGGGGTGTCTTTTCCCCGACTTCTGTTTCCGTCCAACGTGAAGGGTAGAAACGGAGCTGGCTGCTAGGAGAGAAAGGTTGCAAACAGCTGTGGGGTCATTTCTTGGAGGATTAAGCTGCCCTCCAGGCCCAGGACTCCCCACCAGGTCCGGTCAGAGGCCGGTCTGGGGTCAGTAAGGAGGGGGCTGGGTGCGGAGGAGACCCGTTGTCCTGGGTGTCCTTACTTTTCTTTGTAACTCTGAAGGGGGCTTTTCCAGGCTGATGCCCAGGAAGCAGGAAAGAGGCTCCTTTAACAGAGTGGCTCCTCCCAAGTGGGCGGGGCTGTGTGATTGGCAGGTGGGGGCGTGGCCTCCTCCCAGTAGCCGGACCTTGTTCCCATTTTACAGGTGAGGAGCTGCGCTGGAGGCCCCGAGGCGGTGGATTCCTGTGCCAGCGCCTGCTAGTTGCAAGCATGCACGAGGACCGGGCAGTTGGTTTTTTACGTGTGGGCTTTGGGTGGAGAGACCAGCATGTGGTCTTCTAATGGCCAGTACCGTGAAGTTTGTGGCCTGTGTGTCGGGTGTGCTGGGAGCAGGCCATTCAACAGAGCTGTGGCGGGAGCTGGGAGCTTTGTTCTCTGAGCAGCCTGGCCCAGCGCCCGTG